TCATCAACTTTGTTTTATCATCAGATCTATATATCTAATTCTCAACAGTCCTCTCTGCCTGCAGTGGATACTTCTTTCCACAAACAGAGAGCACACTCTCCCCCAACAGGTTTTTCTACAGATTCAGGGGACTCTGTGGAACTGCAGAAAAATCCAAAAAGTTTAAAAAAAAAACCTTGGGGAGGGTTGAATACCCTCCCCAACACCTTTTGCAATGGCCACCACAGGGATCTACTCCAGGCCCCGCCACATTGATAGTGAGAGATAGACTGGCTGATAGCCGGAGAGACAGAGAGAGATAATGAATGGGGGAAGAGAGGAGGGAGCAAAAGCAGGAAGTTATAAAAGGGCAGCTGAGGCATCAACGGATGGGTGGGCCCAGTGACTGAGAGGTAGGGGGCAGGTGGACAGAAGGCAGGATTTCCTCCAACCAGTGTCAGTTTTTACACACCACCTTTTAAAACGCTCCTTAGCAACCCTGACAGACAAATAGAGTGCCGAAGACAGCTGTGGTGCTGTGGGTGAATGTGGACTCATCTCAGGCTGAAGAAGACAGGAGCCCTGCAACCACACAGTTCTCCACATCAAGGCGAGAGGTTGAACAAGCGAAGGTGCCTCAGGCTGATCCATTGATAAATCGATGGCCATTTAAACAGCTGCTCTTGGCAAGGGCACTCAGAAGGAGAGTGGCAGAGGACACCTGTAGCACCTCAAGACCTGCCAGTACCCAGTGAGGCCATCTTCGGAATCTCACATAAACAAAATGATTGCAGTTCCCAGGCAGACTCCTCTTTGAAGCCAACTTCAGTCAGCTGGCTGGCTATGCACAAGGGAGAAAGACTGGATGGCTCCCTTTCCAGTGTTCAATAAAGAAAAAGAAAAGGGGGGAAAACAAAGGGAAAACTGTCACTTCCTGCCCTTCACAGAAGGCTGTCACAGAGCCGCGGCCTCCCTTAAGAGAGCACCGCTCAGAACAGTCGAAAGTATCTCTGCCTTTTTGTCAGAGACAACAATCCCTCACCAGTACCATGCAGAACAATACAATGCCAGAAGTGCTTCACAAAAGAGGATGCCCTGCCAACATGAGAAAATCAAAAACGCTAACAAATTGGTTATTGCAAGAAAGCCATTTAAACAGTAAGCAACTATACTTTGAAAAAGACATTAATAGTATGCAACATTTTGTTGCGTGTCCCCACTTGTACTGTCTACTTACAATTAACATGTTTATATTTATTTATAACGTGCCTCTATGCAGATCACAGAATATAAACAATATAATCAGACAGCATAACACATCCAGTAAACTGCAATAGTACTTGGATCACAAAGTTAGAAAAACAGTCCAAAAGAAAAAGCTATCAGATATGACAGATCATAAACAATATAGAAAATGGAATTTTAAAAGTGGACAGCAGTGCAGTAAAAGCAGGATAAAACAAATAGTTAAATGTACAGGAGTAGGTTTCAGTCCTGCTTCTTTTATAAAGGAGTGTCCTCCTGAACCATTCCAGTATACTTTGGCCAGCTTTGTTCTCTTTATAAGAATGTCCTCCTGAACGATTCTGTTTTACGTAATCTGTGGAATGATACAAGTGTGCCACCTCAGGCAGAACGTTCTACAAGGTGGGAGCCACAACACAGAATGCATGGGCAGCCGTCAGTCTGGTGGGGTATAAATCCAATCTCTTCTCTTCTTCTAAAGCACTCCAAAGTGCATCATTTGATACCTACCTCTGTCTCCTGTGTCTCAGCAAGATGACAGGGCCCACGGTATCAAATGCTGCTGATAAATCGAGTAAAAGCCACAAGAAGGCATGGCCCTTGTCTATTCAAAAAGAGAAGTTATTCTTTATGACTAGCACTCAGAGACTCAGAGTGGCTTACAAATTCCTTTCCCTTCCCCTCCCCACAACAGATACCCTGTGAGGTAGGTGGGGTTGAGAGAGGGTTGCTGTTGGAGGCCAGTTGTCATCAAAGTGGGACTTATCTCTTTCAAGAACTGCTCTTTTAAGAACAGCTCTGACAGAACTATGGCTTGCCCAAGGTCATCCAGCAGCTGCAAGTGGAGAAGTGGGGAATCAAACCTGGGTCTCCCAGATTAGAGTCAGCGCACTTAACCACTACCCTAAATGGCATCTAAGCTTCAACTCTGGGAATACTACAGAGGGAAGGGAAAGGCAAGAGTAATAGCATGTTCATGCACAAAAGCAATTGCACCTGCCTAGGGCTGTGGGGAATGGAAATTAATGTGTTAAGGCTCTCAGAAAGATGGATTTTGAGAAGAGGCGGGAGGGAAAGACACTACTTGTTAGGAGAAGGAATTTCTTCTTAAAGGATTGCATAGGAGAAATGGTGGGTCCATTTAATGTCACAGGCGACCATATGCCTTTCTCATGCCTACTGAGGATGATTTAACTAGGATTTCTGTCAAATCTTCATAAAGAAGCATTAATATTTCACAATGGGAAAGTGTCTGTTGAATCACTCCAACTAGGCTGAGTTTCGTAGCCACCTCTGTTCAGCCACAGATATTTTCAGCTAATCCTCCTGCTAGTTTCAGTGAATTCATATTTTTTTTGCTGCAATTCAAGGAGTAGGCAGTACTGGTTTTTCTGTAGGAGGATCCGGCTGTGTTTCCAGGGAAGCATCTGTATGCTTGTCGGCTGTTAAGTAAACCATCAGGCTTGTTTTTCCTGCTGTGACATTTCCACTATGTTGCAGTCAGCACTTAAAGTTCTTTCCTTTGCAGAAGAGAGGCATTTCTTCTCTCCACTGCGATAGATTTGACTGGAGTGGGGTTTTTTTTTAATTTATTTTTTTTTAAAAAAACTGGCTGGAGATTGGGTGTTGAACTCTTCGGTCTGTAAAAAAAAATAGCTGTTCTTTGCATATTTTAAAGGAGACACCATAAAATTCAGTTGTGCTGCCATTTGTCATTTTATAATCACTGTTTTCAACTGCCATGAATTTTTTTTTAATGCATGGTGTGGATTTTGTTATTGTTAAAATCTCTTCCTGTTCTCAGTTGCCAGCTTTCCCAGTAATTATGTATTTAACTTTATTTTTAGGAAAAAGAACAATGAAAGAGTTTGGGTGTTTTTTTTAAAGGGTAAAACGTATAGAACGTAGATGGACTTAGCCTCCTGGTAAATGGAAATGAGTGTGTCATTCCCACATATCCTGTATTGCCAGTTGCCATTCATTGTTTCTTCATTGCTTGCAGCTATTTAATATTCCACATTTGGAATATATGCTCCCAGTTCTGCTAGGTGGGGTGTGTCAGGGGGTTGCAAACCAGTGTTCCAAATATATCTTTGCTCTCTGCATATAAAGGCATGTTTCCCTGCATAAGTGCCTTGCTATACCGCCATCTGTCACAGTATGCATACCGATGATTTTGGACATGGGTTTTATAGGAGCTATGGGAACTGGTTCCCCCATTCCTTCATCCTCTCACTGGAATCTTGTTCTTGGAAGAATGTTTTCCAAGGAAGCATCTGGATATTCCTTGGATATTGAATAAAATCATCAGGCTCCACCTTCCTACCATAAAAAGTTGGGCTGATATTTCCATTAAGTTGCAGAAAAGAGAGTATACTGAAAATTCACAATACTGATGTCAAGGCACTGTGTATTTGTTTTAGGCTGGAATTTCATGTGCTCCAACCACTATGCTGTTTTCATTCAATTTTCATTTTGTTTTCTGTAGCTCTAACAGTTGGTGCATCTTCTGTGAATGCATGTTGTTGTAGCTCATATCAGATTAACTACCACTTGCTGGATAGCAAAAAGCTGTTGATTGGACATTCAGTTGAAATATTTGTGGTGGTTTATATAATCCAATACCTATATTCAACTCTAGCATTCTTAAAATAGTATTTAACAGAAAGTCAATTTATGATTAATGATTAGTGCCATCAGAAGAGGATAATTAGCTAGTATCTGTCTCTCTAACCGAAAAGCATGATCATAAACACACTGTTCCAGATGGCAAACACACTTGCTCCGATGAGACATACAGAAAACAGTCATTAAGATTACAAGCTAAATGTGAATTAATATTTGTTTTTCTGTTTATACAATACATTAACAATAGTAGAAGCATGCCTGTATTCAGTTACATGCATTTTATAGTTCATCCATTGAATATAAAAATATAACCAAGATCACCTACACAGAATTTGTATGTACAACTGCCTTGATAGAGAGATTTCAGCCATCCCTCTAAGGATACATCAGATCAAGTAGACAGTGGTTGTCCTTGAAAGAATGATCTGGCAATAAAGCTGAATGTGAGAAAGTATTTATCAAAGCTATGGAAGAACAATCTGCATAGTGGAAGGATCTTCTGTTTCCTCCTTTAATACTGTATTACTGACAAATATAGAGAGGCAACAGAAATACAAACATTTATTACCTCAATAAAATCTAACATCCATCGTGTCTAGATCATTCTTACCAAACATCTGAAAGTGGAAATTTGAGAATAAACTCAATATTTCTTCTCTTCCTATTCAGAATGTTTTTGAAAGTTCTTTCCAACTAAGGTGTCTGTTACCCGACAAAGGAAGAGAGGAGTATAGGAATGTAAAAATGCATCAAATTAAAAATTAAGGTGCTCATATTTGAGGATAAAATGTATTGGTTCTCCAGACGTTACATGTGATAATCAGTGAATGTTGTTGTACTAATAGCTCGCCCAACAGTGTTTCATGTCACAATTCCCAAGGATGAACACAAGTAAAACAACATTGGAATGTGTCATGTGTAAAACTTGATTCAGTGACTAATGAAAGCCACAGTTTATGAAATATCTCTGGACAAGCTGTACAGATGACACATCATGTGGTTCAGTTCACTGTGCTTCTTTATGGAATACCTAGATACCTAGAATTTGTTTGGGTTTTAATTTTATACACTGGCTTTGCTTCTACAGTACGTGCATTTGCACATGAAAACCTCTTTCCTGTTTCTTTCCATGTGTGTCTCTGTTACAGAACCTTCGACCTCAAGAAAGTCGGACTATGTTTAGCGGCTCTGTTAGTATCCCATCAATTACAAAATCTCGTACCGAACCTGGACGTTCCATGAGTGCTAGCAGTGGCCTGGCAGCAAGTAAGCAAGTTTAATCTCAGGCAGATTTCATTGGCATTATAAAAGTGTGACATCTGCATTTGTATATATGTTGGTCTGCTGGACTAAGATAGCATTAAGAATGTACATACTGGAGACTGAAGTCAAAGCACACTTGTTAATGGTATTTACAACTGAGGTCCTGCAACAAAATATTGCTGATTGTTTTGAGGTTGGCCAAGTTTGTCTGCCAAGATAAGAACAGCTTTAGCAACCTAAAAACAGCCTATTTCCCCATAAAGATTTAATATACTATTATACCACTTTTTCCAGTTTTGAGATGGTTTCCAAATAGAAGTGTACAAGCAGAAGACCCACAAGTCCTTTCAAGGGAACGGTCCTTGTGGGGGCCATCTCATTTTCCGTTCCCTTGAAAGTCCTCACAGCCTCTCCCCTATTTTTGCTTGCTTCTCTCCTGCCCCCGCCATCTTCAGCTTTCACTCCTGGGCAGCCTCTCCCCAGCAAAGTCTATCCCAGTTGCACAGTACCAGCCCAGCAGCCAGGCTGTGCCCAGTTGCATGGTACTGGCCAGGCTGGACTCAGTTGCACTGTGGGGAATCTGCAAAGACTTGCAGGGAGCACTTTCCTTTCCCTTTTCCACACTATTTTTCTCCTCTGGCAGCACCCACATTGTCAGCTTTCATTGTTTCCTTCTCTCCTTCCCACCCACCCACCAACCTACTTTTTAACTGCACCCCTTCTATACCTATAGTTCTTATTTACTTCATTTATACCCCACCTTTCTGCAGAATAGGGACGTAAAGCAACTTACAGCATTCTTCTCCTCCATTTTATCTTCACAACAGCCCTGTGAGATAGGTTAGGCTGAGAATGTGTAACTGACCCACTAAGTTTTCATGGTTTAACCACTACACCACACTGTCTTTTGTGAGGTGGCTGCTGCTGAACAATAGCAAGATGCCAGGCCTGAGTGAGCCATGCAAGTCACGTGGTATCAAGTCACCCAGTGGTTACTACTAGGCATGGCTTTGATGATTCCTTCGTCAAAGGCCTAAGCAGGCCTGGAAAGTACACTGTCCCTGTCTTTTACTGACAGGAACCAAGGCTAGAAGGCTGACAATATTGTTGTGGTTGCCTAACAATTGCCACTGAGAGGGTATTCATTTCTTAAAGTGACACATACTGATATTATTGGAGGGGTAACCTCCCAACTTTTTTGTTTTTTATTCAGATTTTTCTGCAAACCAGGGTCTCCTCAGATTTGCAGAAAGCTCTGTCTCTGTTCTGTTCATGGTCTCAATCTCCAGTTTTAATTATCTACAGACATGGCCATGTTGAGAATTAGCTATATTAGTAAAATAATAAAAAATAAAAAATAAACCAATATCTGAATCACAAAACATTATTGCAGCAGTTTTTAAAAAGTCAAATAAAAAATTCAGTCACATGGAATAAAACGGCAGTAATCAAATCATCTAACTAAAGCCATCATGTTACTTGCTATATGCTGGCCTGCCCTTGAGACTAATCCGGAAACTCCAGCTGATCCAGAATGTGGTGGCGCGAGTCCTGATGGGAATGTCACAGATGGCACATACTTGACTTGTGCTGTGCCAGCTACACTGGCTTCCAGTGAAGTACTGAGTCAGGTTTGAGGTGTTGGTATTGACATTTAAGACCTTGAGCGATCTGGGACCAACATATCTACAGGACCGTCTCCTCCGGTATGTCCCTGGAAGAGCCTTGCACTCTACTGATAACAATCTGCTGGTGATCCCCAACCCTAGGGATGTCCGGCTGTCATTGAACAGGGTGGTACTCTCTGCCAAATGACATCAGGGCCCTGTGGGATCTTATGCAGTTCTGCAGGGCCTGTAAGGTAGAGAGTTATGCAGTTCTTACAGGGCCTGTAAGGTAAGCCGGGCTTTTAGTTGAGGGCAGCAATGTTTTTTCCTTGGCTGGCACCCCTCCCTTCCTCCCCCCCTAAATTGCTGTTATGAGTTTCCTCTCCTCCTACCCAGAAACTGGCCCGGCATTCCAGAGTTGGGGGTAGAAATTTTCAGACGCCATCATCATGGACTCTGTTTGGGTCTTTAGTTTTATTAAATTGTTTATTGGAATGTTAACATTTTATATGTCTTTATGGCACTGTGCCTCTATGTACGTTGCCCAGAGCTCGGTGTAAGCTGGGATAGGACAATTAACAAATTTAAAAAATCATCATCATCATCACTGAAGAAAACAATTTGGTGTAGTGGTTAAGTGCACGGCCTCTCATCTGGGAGAACCGGGTTTGATTCCCCACTCCTCCATTTGCACCTGGCAGGATGACCTTGGGCAAGCCGTAGTTCTGATAAGAGCTGTCCTTGAAAAAGAGCAGTTTCTGTCAGAGCTCTCTCAGCCCCACCTACCTCACAGGGTGTCTGTTGTGGGGAGGGGAAGGGAAAGGAGTTTGTAAGCCACTCTGAGACTCCCTTGGGTAGTGAAGGGCGGGGTATAAATCCAATCTCCTCTTCTTCTTCTTATGTCTAAAGAGTCTTAAAACAAGGTTATCCCAGCCGAAGGTCAGCCCCCCACCCACCCAAAGGTAACTGTTTTGATCCCTCACCCACACTGATCTACGTACTACAGTTCCATTTGGTCTGTTTGCATTGAGGTCATACTAGAAAGGAATTGAGCCAGACTTTAGAAAGAGAAACTATTAAAAATGCAAATCTCAGACTCGCTTGGGGGGGGGGAATACTGCACAAACACTACCGAATTATTAGTACTGAACATGAAATACTACCAAATGCCAGCAATCAATAGGATGCTCTTTGCAACACAGTAGTCCCCAACCCAGCACAAGACCAGTGGGAATGGACAAGAGAGGGCTTGATCAATGAGTAGCAATCATGATTGGGGGGGGGGGGCAGAGCGGCAAATGATGGTTCAGAGAAAACAGCAGAATGCAACTCAGTGCTATGTGACTAAATCCCTGTGTATATTTGTAGGATCGTCTGCACAAAATGGCAGTGCTTTGCGGAGGGAATTCTCAGGAGGTAGTTATGGAGCAAAGCGTCAGCCGATGGCATCCCCTTCAGATGGCTCCTTGTCCTCTGGTGGTTTGGATCAGGGCAGTGATGCCCCTGTGAGAGACTATGAGCGAGAGGTGGGTATGGTGGACAAGAAGAAAGGAATCTGCGTGGAGCCCACGTTCTGCCCTCAGCTGTGCTTCAGTAAATGTGAGACAGAGATATAAGTGGATCGTACCAATCCATGACCTCGAGAAGAGGAAGGGAAAATCCACAGGAGAAAGTATTCAATGGAGGGAGAGAGACAGTCTCCTTTAAATATAATAGAGCATTCCATAAAGAGTAGCATCTTAGGATCCCCCCCCCCGTCCTTTGCTTTAAATAAATTTGAAGTCACAGTGGTGCATGCTAGAAAAATATTGTACCAGAGAGTTAATGGAAAGAAGTCAGTTGGACCTAAGCATTGCTAAATCTCATTATTGCAGATATTTAAACGTCTTTTTAACTTTGATCTGATGGTGCCTTTGTTCTGATTGAGCCCAATATGTTCAGAAAGTGTTATAGAAAAAGTAGGTATTATGCCAGGTTTTAGAACAAGGGAAAGTATATTTTTGTGACCAGAACGTATTCTAAAACTGAATTGAATGTTTCATTATTTTAATTTATATAATGTTGAATGGCTGCATTAGAGATATGGAATACTGGTGATGGCATTGGTGGGAAGCTAAAGCAGAAACCTTCCAGCATCCCAGCAGTGATGGAGCTTGAGAGGAAACAGTGCTCCGTCTGATATTTCCACCACATATAGGGTCACAGCCAGAATCGAAAATACTTAATCGTGTTACTACCTGAAACATGAGGTCCACACCGTCGATTTTGTCTCTATGAGAAGTTCCTTGAGGACATGTTCACACACGAAATGTCTCATGTAAACTGGGCTGTGTGGACGCAGTCACCACTTCTAAACAATGATCGCTGTATTTGTGATGTCTGGAAAAAATGTGTTTCATTTGATGCTCGTGGGGAGTGTTGGCAGTTTGTAGCTCCTCTCTTGCTCTCCCCCCCCCCCTTTGCCATGTTCTCTTGTGTGTGTTTTTTTTTGGGCTGTAGGACTCTGACTCTCCGAGACATTCGACAGCATCTAACAGCTCCAACCTGAGCAGCCCCCCCAGCCCCATCTCTTCTCCTCACAAGACGAAGAGCCTCTCCTTGGAGAGCTCTGACCACGTGAGTTGGGACACATGAACTGCCTCAGCATTCAGATCTGACACCTCAGCCGCTTATTGTCCCTGTGACTCTCCGCTTGTTCTCGCTGACATCATCCCCAGCTTCCCTCCAGAATCAGACTGTAGGAGGGGGAGGAATAAGAGGAAGAGAATATATCTGCCTTCTCTCGCACAAGCAGTGTAGCCTCACCACTCCTTCCCCCCTCATTCAATAGTCGTGGCAAACAAGACAAAGAAAACCTTGGTGGAGGGAAAGGGGAGGGGTTAGCCTATGAGAGATATTGGTATATTTGTATTAGTGTTGATTTTATTTCATAGGATTACAGCTGTTTCCATTATTATGGGCATATTTAACACTACACTACCACTCCAAACCAAACACAGTAGTGTAGACAGACCAAAACGGAATCTGTAAGAGAAAAATCAGATTTTTGCTTTGACACACACAGTATCTATCTGATTATATTTTTGCAAAAGTAGCACAGCAACACTCCTCCGCCTCTGGTGATGGAGCGAAATTAGCCCTGCAGGGGGGGCACATGCGCACGCTTTCAGCCAGTCACTCTGTTTGAATGTCAATCTGATTGTTGCCAGCAAATCCTTATTGATTAAAAAAATGAAGCATATTTTACTACAGTACAGAATTTAAATACACATAATTAAGAGTTAGTACATATGTATATAATAAAAGAAAAAGCAGCATTGTGATGCAGTGGAAGATGGATTCCTGTTTAAAAGATCCTTTAATTTAAGACGAATTGTGTTGTTCCCTTTTTCATACTAAATAATCTACACATTGGAGGTGTGATTGGAATATACAAGATGGCACTGGGTAAAACCATACAGCCTCGATGAAGAGTCCATCCTCACAATTGTTCTGAGATTTCTTCTTGTCGTTAGAAGAAGTAAAGCCATAATCCTCACTTTTAAAATATCTCTCCTATCTTCAGCCTTCTATTGAAAGGTAAACCGCTCCAATCTACAAGCAAAACTCATGATTTAACAGTCTACAAGCATGAAGTTGGCATTTTGTCTGTATGGCCGTTTATTGCAGGGTCAGCAGACAGCCCCAGACAGCCACTGAACAATGCTATTCCTAGTCTGGTAGTTTGCGAGAACATTTGGTAGCTGAAGACTTCTATTCTGAAGACGTTCATTGCAGTCATTTTCTTACCACCACCACCACCCAGTCTCAACTCATTGCATATTTAATGTTATTAATGCCATAAAATACTTGGTGTTTGGACCCAGCAGAGAAGCGCTTGGCATTGCAGAACATTCCTCTGTGGAGAGCAGGCTGGGGAAATGATGGAAATCTATCATCGCTTAAATAAACAGTGGCAAATACAACATGGGAATAGATAGCAAGAACAAGGCAACTTCCCAGCACCACCCTATCTACTTCAGTGTGGTTTGCATTTTGGGACTAGATGAATGTGATTTTCGTTTTCCTTGGGATCCTTACTATCATATGCTATGACCAAGTTGGGATGGATGAAGAGTTTGGGGGTTTACTTTAAACTTAGATTAGTGGTTTCATACATTTTGGTATTTCATGGGTCCCACCAAACCATTCCAAGCCCTTCTAGTGCACAACTAAACAACAAAAGTGTAGCTAACAGGACGGAGATTTTCACAAGTTCCCTTTACAAATTATATCATTGCCATTCATGCAGGATGCAAGTTAAGTACCATGAGATACAGATAATCATTTTTGACCATCCAGGTGTGTCTGCTAGTACTTGGTTCTGTGTCTTATCTGCATTGGTGGATTGTCGCATCCAAAACTACCACTTAGCTCTTTTATACTGGGGGGAATGGTTGCGAGGAGAGGGATCCAGAACTTTTCTGTTAAGTATGATGTCCTAATCCTGTCTGTCAATTTTGGCTTGTCAGAATCTTAGAGTTTGTGTATTTTATCGTCATAAGGGATTTAGCCAGTCAACTCCCCTCAGTTAGTTTCCGGCTCAGTGACTGGCAGGACATAGGAAGCACTTTTCAGAAACTGGCAGGACATAGGGAAGCACATAAGATCCATTTACAAGTACTGCTTCTGTACCATTCACTACCAAAGGGTTCTTGCCCTGCTAGCCTCTCCTCTTCCTCTCTGTGATGCCTCTTATGTCTACACACTGTTATACACAATTGTTAAGACAAGCCTGATGTTTTCCTCCTGTCATTTTTGTTTAAACATCCTTTAAATGCTATAGAGGCTCTAAACGCTATACAGTTGGCCTGTGTGGTTATCCCATCTCAAAAGTTATTGTCTCGGATGCCCCCCAAAGTTCCTTGGCAATTGATCCATGCTCCTGGAAGGAAAAGAAAGATAGCATATGAATTTGGAAGGAAATACTGTCCTGACAAATATATTTTATATCATGTCGGGCCGTTTCACAGGTTGAAAGTACTACCTTTTGTATAGATGAGAGCACTTTGGAATGGACTTCGGCACAGGCAGTCATTCGTTATGAACACTTGTTTCCAGATGCACCCGATGCGGATGCTTTAATATCTGTGGAATGGCTTGCTGGTGAAGTTGGGATTTGCTGCTATGTATTGTTCAGTTTCCATTCATATGTGATAGCAATGGTCCAGGCACTTTTATAATCCCTCACTGAATCCGATTAGTTTGATTGTCTCCTTGTGTACCCAGTATCAGACTATGCTGTGCCTAATTGAATACATTTTTCTTGGTCTGGTTCAGGCACCTTATTCTTGAGGCCCATTAAGTCAGATTTCAGTCCTTAAAAAATCTCTAAGATTGTACAGTTTTTGCCCAAGGCATCAGTGTTTTTCCTGGCTCACACTCAAGCTATCCAAATAATTAATCTTCATTTTCAGACACATTCCTGGTGTATTATTCATTTTTTATGCTCCTGACTCCATTTTTCATTAGTTAGTTTCTTCTGGAGGTTGATATGTGTGCTAACTGTTTTTGTTCCTAGCCTAGCCTGCATTTTTTAGAATAGCAGTCTTAGTTTTGGAAAAAAAATTACAATGACATTTGTGTTAAACTCTCAGGTATTTGGAAGCAGCAGGATATCTTCATAGGATAAACATGAAATGCAATAATTATTTTGGGCATGAGATTCACCACAGGTACACCTCAAACATCAACACTTCTGTTTTGATATGTTGCAAACTTTGGATTTAAGATGACAGTTTAGAGCCTTGAATGGGGAGAAACATTGGGTTTTTTCAGGGTTTTTTAATAGTAGCACCTCAGTTTTGTTTTTTTCCTAGGCTGTCAGAAAGTAACTGGGAACCCAAAATCTGACGTTGGGAGTTATGTAGCCTTAGACAATTTCACCACAGGTGTGAAGATTACCTCTGTACCACCCTGGTTCCATGCATTGATGCCCTGTTTAGGGACTTTGGGATGAACTTCATGGAGGTGCTTATGACATCCATTCAGGCCAACACAGTAAGGCTTGCCACTTGGAGTCTAACAATGGCACTAGCCTGTCTCTCTCCAAAGTGTCATCTTTGGGCTAGTGATAGAATATGGGCTTCTAACCCCAAGCCTACTGGGAGGGGGAGCTTCCAATATACTGTAGATTTTCAACTTTTATGACCATGTACATTAAGGCAGTTCCACAACTTGTAATCTTGTCTGTTTCCTTCTGTATAAAAAAAAAAAAATCATCCACCATAAGAAACTGTCTCGCTTACGAGGAAGCAATCCACAACCAAAAACCAGTATTGGTATTTCGCAGCAATTATTCCTGCCTTTTTATGTATGACAGTTTCATATCATTTATTTTTTAAAAGATATTTTTAGGGATTTTTTCATTGTAATATTGTTGTACAGTTTTGCATGGCCTAGATGTAATCACTTTTTTTTTGTTTTTAGAGTATAAAAGCCGACAAGTGTGCGTGTGGGGGAAAGATACTGCTTTTTGCCTCTTCTCACTCTTATTTTTGGTTCATGCCCTCAATGTTATAGAGGACATTGTAAGAGACTCTCTGCTCCAGAACAATGATGTAGATTCTTTTGCACAGAAATATTTAAGGTGGCTAAGTCAATGCTGTAATAAATGACCAGTCACCAATATTTTATGTTGGTAACACTTAATATTAACCTACTTTGATGTATTGCAATAAAACAGGGAACTATTAGAAATAAAGATGGTTTGTCTTTTTTTGCCCCAACCCCTCTGTATTTATATTTGGGGGAGGGGGGTGAGTGGGGAACTGATGGAGTAGTCCTAAACTCAGGTGCAGCAAGCATTGTTTCTTTCTGCAGAAGAGAATGTCATTAAATTGGCTCAGGCAATGGTCTTTCACGACTTCCAGTCAGCTCACGCTCAGCAGGCCACCCATTTTTAGCCTGGGCTGGTCCCCCTCCTGTGCAACTCTACTTGCTATAGTAAGGGGCAACGTAAGTGGTGCTGAAACAAGCTGCTTAGGCAGAGACCAGACAGGATATTAGAAGTGTGAGAAACTAATGAGAGAAAAGGTCTGGAGAAAGTTGAGGTAACCCATCTCAGAAACAACCACTTCACATTCAGAAGCCCCCAGTGTATACTTGTTCTATTGGGAAATTTCTGATGGGGCAGCACATCATTTTATTACCAAGGGCTTCTAGATCATGGTAGTCAAAAGGGTGAAACTCTAGGAATTTTCCAACCTGGAGCTGGCAACCTTAGCTAGGCCTGGCCCCAATAAGTTCTCCCTCAAAATAGGGCTGGAAAGGGCTTTGCCCCCTCCCCCTACCTTTTTACTTAAGAAACTGATGCCTGGAATACTGTGATCGCCTATCAACAGCCACTAAGAGAATCCATTGCTTAAAACTACAGGCACTCCTTTTATCATTTTTGGATTTTTAAGCTGCCCAGTCCATTTTGTTTAGATCTTACATTTTTCAGCAAACCTGGTGCCCTTTCCAGGCTTGTAGAAAGATCTGTCTTGCCTGTTCATCGCTCCAGTCACTGGATTTAAGTATTCAAATATATCCTGATTTTGCTATTAGAATATAAGACATGGTAAGTGACATGGCTTTGGGACTTCATGAGGGTGGTTTCATGCTCCATATGTCACTGTCTCACCTGTTTTTTAGTATTATTTCTCAACATGGAGCATTAAGGCTGGTTTAGAGAATTTGTTGGTATTTGCAAATGCAAATTCTTCAAACCCATTTCTGAGATTAATGGCTGCACTAGCTGTTTAATAGCAGGTAAGATATTACATCTATATTTGGGCAAGCTTTTTTAATCTTTTAAGAACGTAAGAGAAGCCATTGTTGGATCAGGTCAATGGCCCATCCAGTCCAACACTGTGTCACACAGTGGCCAAAAACCAGGCGCCATCAGGAGGTCCACCAGTGGGGCCAGAACTCCAGAAGCCCACCCACTGTTGCTCACCAAGCATCAAGGATACAGAGCATCACTGCCCCAGACAGAGTGTTCCATCTATACCTTGTGGCTAATAGCAATTGATGGACCTCTGCTACATGTTTATCCAATCCCCTCTTCAAGCTGTCTACCATTGTAGCTGCCATCACTTCCTGCAGCAGTGAATTCCACAGTTACTTACCCTGTGGGTGAGGAAGTACTTCCTTTTATCTATTCTAAGCCTATTGCTCATAAAGAATCCCTGTCAAGATCCTGCTTATTACATTTTTCCACCCTTCCTCCAAGGTGCTCAGCTATTTCTGCCATTGCCCCATTTCAAAGCATGCATGGGTTAGTGCCTAAGCTTACTAAGTGAGCTCGAGGGGTGAGCTCAATTGTGTTACTGAGGAGGCAGAAAGTTTTGTATTTGTATAGTAGAGAGGTGGACAGAGCTAAAATCCCACAAATCAACTTTGGTAATTGATGTTCAGAGTGAACGGCTGCAAAAGTCTGTCAGCTAAAGCAAATAGCCTGGTGAAAGGGTTTCCCCATACATAGCTCCAGCAAAGGATGAGATGGTTAGACAGTGTCATAGATGCAACAAACATGAAGTTGAGTAAACTTCAGAGGACAGCGGAAGACCGGAAGGCCTGGCGTGATCTGGTCCATGGGGTTGCGAAGAGTCGGACTCGACTGTGCGGCTGAACAACAAAAGCTCCAGCTGCTGAAGTATAGCAGGAAATACTGCAGACAGCACCCATTTACATAACAAGCCCTGAAAGTTACAGCTTTGGAGAAAATGATAGTTCAATTTTTTTTCCTGATTTGTTTTTAAATCCATGTTTCATGCTTATTTGCAATTTAGTGACAACTGTGTGTTTTGGGCCTATGTAATGGAGTGCACTTTTTAAAAGCTTAGAATTGCTATGTAAACAGATAAAGGACTGTGAAGGGTTAATTCCTCACAGAGCCAGAAAGCCTTGAATGACAGGCTGTTCCAAGAGATCTGTTAGCATCAGCTGAGCAGAAAAACACTTGAGAGCTACATGAAGAGACAATCAGATTTCTGCCTTGACTGATTTTGATTTCAGCCCTAGCTGAAAAGATTCAAGTACTGACAGTTTTGGAATTCAGCCCTGACTGGAAGAACAGATAGGAGAACTGGGGAATGTTCACAAGGACAAGTGGGTAGTTAGATGGAGACTCCCATTCAGGCCAATGGAAGGGAATAGATCTTCTAGAGAAGAAAATTCCCTACCCAGTCAAACAGGGAGTTAGCATTGAAGAGTGAAAAGATCCCTGGTCTGGTGTGGTTAGAAACTGCCCTTATAGACCTTAAAGGTAAAGGTTCCCTTGCTCGAAAGCCAGTCGAGTCCGACTCTAGGGTTGCAGTGCTCATCTCCGTTTCAAAACCAAAGAGCCAGCGCTGTCCAACGTTTCCGTGGTCATGTGGCCGGCATGACTAAACACCAAGGCGCACGGAATGCTGTTACCTTCCCACCAAAATGGTACCTATTTATCTACTTGCAATTTCTTGCTTTCGAACTGCTAGGTTGGCAGGAGACCTTAAGAGTCAGTTAAAAATTCAAGTACTGGTGTTTCAAGAAAAGGAGTTTGGGTACTGGAAAGAGTTTACGAAAGATTGTACCAGCCTTCTGGAAACCAAAAGAGTTAGAGAATACTAAAAAATGTACTGGAGTGTTTGGAGAAACACTGGAACAAAAGCCTCTCAACATAAAGATTTAAGTCACTGGGAAAAGCTTAAGAAACCTTTATTAGCCTGAAACATAAGAACTAAAATCTGTGCATGTACTGGCTTTTACCTCAAATTTCAACCCCTGATTTCACCTGACCTTTCCCCTCCATGTTAAAAAAATACTTTATTTTTGAATTTCAAAATGCCTCAAGTGCCATTTAAGTTGTTTAAGTTAAAGGGAGATCCCGATCCTTCCCTCAGGTTCCTGGGCTGAGCCAACAGCCAAAATCTCATACTGTGACAGGGTCGGACAGCCAAAGTACTTCAGCAAAGAAGAAAAAACATTACTAGGGTGGCTCAGTCAGTAAAGAAAAAGAAAAGCAGAGGGAAAATCTCACTTCCAAGGGAGGAAAGTAGACCGGGCTGTCAGTAGCCTGACTTCTATGTTAGGTTATGGTAGAATTATTCACACATGATATGAAATGCAGAGTAGATTATAATGTTCTGAAATTTGCATCAGTTTGATTCCAGGCACAGAATTGAGATAGCAGCCTAAGGGTTTCAAATAAGGCCCTTGTCAGCTTTTTATACTGTTAGTGCTTTAACCATCTTCACACATTTCACCCTTCCTGTAAACAGCTAGATGACTGTCTCTTTAATCTCAGGGATCTCCAAAAAATCCAAAATCACTTAGAATTCAGTATACCAATAACAATGTTAAATATCAAAGTGTTTAAAAGTCAAACTAGAAGTAATTCATATCAAAGTAAAGGATCAATATGCCCACTAGGTGATAAGTATACAGTTACATTCCCAATGATCTATTAGCGCAAGTAGCAGGCAATATTTCCAGATCAAAGTTTTCTCCAAGGTTCTGCCACATTGCACCTCGGATGACAGGGACCAACATGTGCTTCGGCCACACGGTTTGAAGAATTAAACTCATCAATAGAGATTTCAGCAATTTTCCCTATCAAGTTCGGTACCAACAAATAAAACAATGAAAGTACAGCCTGGAGGGAAAAGTAGAGTTAACTGTTTCAGGTGAGATGAGCTATAAAGCCACATACACTGAAAAAGATGTTCTTGGGAGCTAATTGAACACATTCTCATTTAAGTAGACTTCCTGTAGCCCTGCTGTCTTGGGCCTGGAAAATCAAGGCAAGTGGCAAGCAATCTTCCCTCTAAGCTCAGTTAGTGTGAGCTAGCTCACAGATTTTAAGCCTCCATCTCACACATTTTGCTCAGGAAAAATGGCTCCAAAGCAAACTAATTTATGCAGTAGCCAAATTGTTTGCTCACAACTTTAATGCCAGTAACTCACAAAGTTGAATTTTTGCTCACAAGACTCCACAGCTTAGAGGAAGCATTGGTGGCAAGTGACTTCTTAAATGCAGCAAGCCAAATATGCGGCAGGTTATCACACAATTGTGTATGGAGCTTTGTGTAGTAATGCAGTAGAGTATTTTGCCACATGGTTTAGGCAGATTTTTAACCCACACAAATAGAACCGCCTCATTTAAAGAAGTGGACCAGCTGTGCTATTGATATGAGAGGCAGCAGAATTTTATGGTGACAGGTATCCTAAGAGTACCGGGGGCAGGGGGAGAGATGACAGAACAAAACCATCTCTTGGTCTTCACAACCACTTCATTATTTTACTTACCTTGAAAATGTGTTCTTACTCATTCTACCACTGCCTCTTAAGAGTTGTATTTCCTACAACAGTGCCTTGCCATTAAATCCATTACTTTATTGATAGAATAGCTAATAATACTTAAAAGCATCTCAGGAAAATGAGCAGCCAACACTAAGCCTTTGCACCCAATGATTTTTTTTTCCAATGAGCACCTAACAATACAGGTTGGTAGTCAGTGTGGGCTTGTTCTAAGCTACCAGCTGCCTCCTATTACATGACTTGGTCTCCCATACAAAGTGTAGAAAGGGCAAAATCTATGTTAAGAGCATGTTAAATCATCCTGCAGGCAGAAAGATACAAAGTAGTCAGACATCATTTCAGGAATAGAACCAGATGAACTGAATAAATCAGTAAACCACAGCCAAGCAGCCGTCTGCACAAGCACTTCTTTATTGGAAATCTGTTGGAAGTTGTACAGTTACTACTGTTGTACAAAAAAAATCCCAGCTTGCCTCCAACTGCTTAAAGTTGTGCGTTCGGCTACTAAACATGTATTATGCTTTTCAATGAAACCTTGAAACACCTTCAATGATGCTATGAGAAGCCCATAAGATACATCCCTCCATCCCATCGAAAACTGCATTATAAAGATGCAGGTAGGGAAAAAGTGTAGCTTTAATGCTGAGTTTCTACAAATGCCACAGTTCAAGTTTTTGTTTCTCTAATTCTCCATCACATTCCCTCTGTTTATACATTCAGCACAGAGAATCAGGCAACTGATTTTCACCCTCTGGTGTTCTAAATACTCCACTGTCCCTCTTGCGTTTCAGGCTGTCTAAAATCTTCACTTTCCTTGCTGCCACTTTGAAAACTGAAGGCATAAAATAGCCTGTGTGTGCATCATATACTGCTCCATCTGAAAGATCCCACTCATTATTGACTCCCAAACACCATAAAAAGAGGGTTTTCTTTGAGTTAAGGCTGGCAGACTATACTGTAGTATGAAACCACTGGTATTCCACCTTAGCAGGAAAAAAGTAAAGAAACCCCCACACACACAAACATTCAGAGAATTGCAAATAGATTTCATTTGCAACTGCTGGTTCTTTCCTCCACTCCACATCTTAAAAATCCAGTTGGTAAACACAGCTATTAGTATAAGAAAGATAGCTGATACCTAGGAGAGCGAGAAACACAGCTGCCTATACTTCCCCCACAGTCCCCACACTAAATAAACTGAAATTTTCTGTAAAGCTGAGGCTGCACAGATAATCTGGTAAGAATATAAAGTGTTGGAGATATGCCCAGCAAAAGGACAACATTGTCTCTTAATCAGGAATCCTGCATTCCAAAGGCCGGCTGTTGTACTGTTAAGGAGATTCTGAAGGTATGACAGAAGAAATTGCACTGTGGATGATTGGCCATTAAAAAAAGCAAAATGACAACTGACAGTTATTCTGTGTTACTGTTCCTTTCTGGCCCTTCTACTCCAATAATTACTGTAAGTCTCCTGAAACATGTTCTTGCATGGAATTCTGGCTTTCAGTTTGGAGCATATGAGGAAGGAACCACCCATTTTCCGGTGGAGAGAGTAAGTCTCTTCTGGTGGAGGGACCAGCCTGTGCTTCAGCATGACTGGGATTAAGCCATGGATCTTCTCAGTTGTGCTCTGCAAGCCAAAGTCAAAAGGTTCACTGGATGCAAAAGCTTCTCCCAGGATGAGCACAGCATTCAGGTGGGCATCTTCCATGGCCTGAGTGAAAGGAAATCAAGAAGGGTGAGACTGATCAGCTGGTCTTACTGAAAAGAAAGTGAAAAGCCAGCATCACGAGGCACATAACTCTGTGATGTTAGATGTTGCTGATTGGCTGTTGCTGTTCATGAAACACTGCTTAACTGGTTCGTAACAATTTGCCACTACAGCAAAGACTTCTACCACCTTGTACTGTGCACCCTGCATACTCTAGAGCAGGGGTGAGCTGACTTGTGACATATACTCTAAAAAAAACCAAAGGTGTATCACCAATCAGTCAGAGCCAGTCACAAAATGGTGATGGAGAGGGGTTACAGAATGACATTCATAACACTGCCCAACACCGGTATCATATGGTCCTTTCAAATTCTGCACAGCACAAACATCCTGGACCCGTCCCTGAGTCTTCACCAAGGGAAAGAACACCTATGAGACCAGTATGGGAGGGAGAGATCAGATATGACCAGAGAGGTAGCATGGCAGAGTGGTCAGTGACACCCAGGCTCAAAGGCCAATTCTGTCATGAAGGTTCTTGGATCTCCTTGGGGCAGTCACACTCTCGCAGCCTGATCTACCTCACAGGGGTGTGGAACAAATCAACACAGGCACAGGAGAATTGTATGTACGGCATTTTAGTCAGGGAGGCTTCTGCATAAGGAACGGCCACTGGGCCCATGACACAGAGATGACTCCACCATTCCCATATTGGAAGAGTTAGGCTTTGTGTCTATTACAACTATACAGAAAACTGCTAAACATTTTAATTGGAATTCTAATTGGTAATCTTAAAATCTCTCTTGGAGCATTAAGAGTTAATACTCTGCATAATAAAACTAAAGAAAGCTGGATGTAAAGCTTAGGAAACGGATGAAATGCCATTTCAATCATGGTTTTAGAGAGCAGACTAGGTTGGTCCACCGCACCCTCTCTTCAAAACTGGGTATCAGTGGTCTTTTCTTTCTGTGCTGACCCTAAAAAGAGAACTTAGTCATATCAGCAAATAAGCAGGGAGTGAATTATTCAATTCTTCTGTGTACCTTTATTTCATAACCAGTCAGGAATTTCATTTCTATCGACTTCCTCAACACTCTCTCTCTGTCCATGTCAGCAGCTGCCTTGATTAACTGTGTGGGAAGAAAACCAAGAAAATAATTCAAAAGCTGGAAAGGGTGATGTGGGAGGCCCTCCAATTTAGCACCTTCCACATGATAGAAAATGAGATGGCTAGCACATTAAAAAGCAATGGATTAAGGGTATTTTGCAATGGATTGCAGCTGAAGAGGGCAGCAGCGCTTCTGTGGTCAAATCCAGTTGTTTGTCTGAGCACAAAAGTGGTCAGAAATCGTTTCCTCCAAATCTTGTTTGAATACAGGGGAAACAAAAGCAGGTATGTTGCAGCCCACTTATGAAGATGTAGAAGCCTTTACATTAGTGGCAGTGCTTTTTAAAAACGGGGAAGCTGTTACACCAGGAAAACCCAATTGTCTCTAATGAGCCAGTTTGGTGTAGTGGTTAAGTGCGCGGACTCTAATCTGGGAGAACCGGGTTTGACTCCCCACTCTTCCACTTGCACCTGGCTGGATGACCTTGGGCAAGCCATAGTTCTGATAAGAGCTGTTCTTGAAAAAGAGCAGTTCTCAAAAGAGCTCTCTCAGCCCCACCTACCTCACAGGGTGTCTGTTGTGGGGAGGGGAAGGGAAAGGAGTTTGTAAGCCGCTCTGAGATACCTTTGGGTAGTGAAGGGCGGGGTATAAATTCAATCTCTTCTTCTTCTTCTAATGAGCAATTTCTTTTAATGTTAGCAGTAGCATATTGGTCTAAATGTATGTTTCTGCACCCAGGCAACTGGAGAGTGCAGTTAATGTGTTTTCAGTGCCAGACACGGTATTCACAAGAATCATGTCAAGTATAGTGCTACTGCTTGAACAATGATCCTTATAATAACTGAACACTTCAAGTTCTCTCCTAGTGTGCAACAAAAAGGAAAACCAGTGCAGAACTGCATGAGAAAGGAAGAGTTAAAATGTGCATAAAGGAGTCAAGCTACATGTTTTCAACAAATCCCAGGCTTCTGAACCAGCAACGTAAGCCCACCTGAGCATACAGCCGAGGGCTCTCACCTCAATGTAGACATCTGTGAATTCCAGATCGAAACCTCTGGTTGCTCCAAAATCCAGAAGTGCCACCTGGGTAAGGAAACATACAAACATGTCTACTCCACAGAACAAACCATTGTACAGAAAACAATGCACGGTGAAAAGACCAAAAGGTTTGACCAGTAACTGGGTTGATTCATGAGCCATTTTATCCATCTGCCTCTCAAAGGAATGACTGAAAATCTAAAGTCTCAATAATAGTATTGCAAATGTTTATATACAACCATGCCACTGGAAAGATACAAATTATTGAAGAATTTCTGAACTTGGTTCCTAGTATTAACAAAACGAAAAACAAAAGTTGTTTTCAGTAAACCAACATGACTTGGAAGGGACACAGAGAACAAAATGAGAATGATGATTTGATTTCAATTACAGGTCGAGGACATACACATCCAGAAATACTGGAAACTTTATACCAAAGTGTAACATCAATGAAGAGTTTTGTGTGAGTGCAATTACCATGTGAAGGGATCCATGGCCTGCTTTATAAACTTACACCATACCACACAATATATGAGATAACACCATCTGGTCAGAATTGATATATTGTAGTTTCTGGATGTGTGGATTTGTTATTTTGTAAAAGGGTGTATTATTGACCACTGAGGAAGGTCCCTGAGGCTGAAATGCATATGGTCTTGTGCTGGTCATCTGACACGTTCATCAACTGTGTTCAGAAAATATTAAAAGTAAAGGTAAAGGTTCCCTTGCTCGAAAGCCAGTCGAATCCGACTCTAGGGCTGCGGTGCTCATCTCCATTTCAAAGCCGAAGAGCCAGCACTGTCCGAAGACGTTTCCGTGGTCATGTGGCCGGCATGACTAAACACCAAGGTGCATGGAACGCTGTTACCTTCCCACCAAAGTGGTACCTATTTATCTACTTGCAATTTCTTGCTTTTGAACTGCTAGGTTGGCAGGAGCTGGAACTAGAGATGGGCACTCACTCCGTCTTGCGGCACCCAGGTCTCGAACTGCTGAACTACTGACCTTCCACAGCCTGCAGTTCAGCGTCTTAACCACTTGAGCCACTGTAGCTCAATTTTCAATGTTCAGAAAATATTACAGGTTATTTAAAGCTTGTTCTGATTCGTACTGCAGCCTGACATTCAAGCCGTATGTTTTTAATTTTACTATTTTGTACACTACATAATAAACATTTATTTTGATTTTATCTACTGTAGCTTGACCCTCGTAGCACCTAAGGCAGGCAGAAGCTGCCACGTCTGAGCTGGAGACCTCCACGAGGAGGGAAAGAGAGCTGCTGACAACGCAGACCAGAGTGGCTTCCACCCTGCACACAATGCCAGTGGGCACAAGCTGAGCAGAAACCAGAGCAAACCCCACTCCTTCCCTCCCCCGCTCCGTCAGAGCAGTGGGGCACAGGGCCCTCCTTCTTCCTTCCACTGATGGGGGGGGGCTACGCCCTTTCCAGGATCATTTTTGACTCCTGGTATAATTTTATTTTGCTTGTAGAAACTAAGGAATTCATACTTTTAAATTCTATAAATATGCCAATTAATGTAATTTTACATGCTAACCAAATTGTAAGTTATGCATTTTACATTGTTAAAGGAGCAAGACAGGTACTGAGTTTTCCCCAGCATTTCCATTTTTTCCCCCTGGGAAAATGTTTTTTTCTTCTATGGTTTCAAGGTTTCCAAAAAGTTTGCATCTCCGCTCCAGCCTAGTGGTTTTCTTTTCAGAGGTCTTCAGAATCCAATCACACATTCCTCAATGAAAACATGAGCAATGAGGGGCAAATTTCACTTAAACACAATTTGCTGCGATACGCCTGAGCGCCTTCTAGAACACACTGAAATCACACAGGTCAACTGTGAGGCCCACAAAACCCAGCCAGTATCCCTGTGCCTACTGACTGGAAGCCTAAAAAAGAACCCCAGAATTTTCTGCAATACACATGGGTTCTATGGCCAATATGCTGAGGTCCCTGTGCGGACAAGTCAACAAGAAATGTAGAAAGGCTGACAATTATTATGCCCTTAAAGAAATCTCTAAAGAGGCTAATGGCTGGCCACTATGTCATGTCTTACAGATGGACGTGTCCATCAGGGACATATCAGTGGAATCCTAAGTTGCTTGCTGAGCATTCCTACCCTCCCCATAATATTTCATGCACTGGTCACGTCTGACACTAACCATACTGTTACTGTGAAATATACTTTCTCCAGACTCTAGATTCCTAGATTCTAATTTCAAGCTCCCTTTCTCCATTTTCATTGTCAGACTGACTATTCTAAAATCTTTAATCACTGTCCTAAAGGTATGGAAGAGTAAGTCTGTATCTTCCAGAGCTTACCTTGTGCAGTTCAGGGTCATAGAAGAAGTTGGACCAGTTTGGATCAGTCTGCATGTATCTGAACTCAAAAAGTTCCCGCAGGCACAAAAGCAGTATGTTATGGCAGATCTGGAAGCGTGGCAACAGAAGGAGGAAAACGTAAAAAAAACCAAGAAGCCACAACAATGAACAGCTAGCATTTGCCTCACACTTCTTCTCAACACTTTAGGCATGTGGAACAGACTACCAGGTATATGTCATGGGCCATCAAGGATGCCCTTGAACAGATCCCTTCCAAAGAGTTTCTTCCAGCTTCAAGCCAATAAGGTGATCCTGCTGGGGCAGCGTCCTTGATGGATTAAAGTACCCTGGTCCTGCTCCTACACCTGACAGACACCCCCCTGTCTGGTGTTGGGGGGGATTATGTTTAAAGGCATCAGGGAGGCTGGGCCAGCAGTAGGGCTAAGGCAGTCCTGCTGTGCAAACTTCCCCAGCGGCTGTAAGCATCCCACCTCCTCTCCTACACCTGACAGGCAGCTGCCTGTCCAGTG